TTGTTGGCGCTGAGACCAGTGGAGAGGCCAGTGTAAAGTTTCAGGTTTGTTTCCCTGCGTGGTTTTGTGCTCTTCTTGACTGTTTGAACCCTCTCTCATTTCTCCCAGGAGCCCACTCCTCCCCAACAACGCAGATACTCTCTGAAAGGATTAGAAGAGGGGTTCACCGCAGGGGCATCAGGCAATCTGCATAGAATAGCCCACCATGGCGGCGAATAAATCAACATTGATGTAAGATAATAAAGCAAATGCAGTAGGGCTATTTGTTTATTCTTATTACACAGAGCGCCACACTTTGGATCATTCGGAGTAAATGCATTACTTGGAGATGAGTCAGAGCAGAAACCCCGCCTGCCATCTCTACTTGGCTCCATGTGTGGGTCCAGAGGCGGTGCGGGCAGTCCGCTAAAGCAGCCATTAGAGAGATATCCAATCAGACTTGGGTCATTCCCTCCTTCCTGCATTCTCTTCTGCCCCTCACATCCTCCGGCCATCATAGAGGAAATGAAAGTCACTGATGGAGAATATGAGGAAATGGTGTAGATGGATGGATGACTGGTCTGATTATGTCTACTCAGCTCCCTCAAGGAAGATACATACAATATCCACACCACACATGGCGGTATGTAAGTGTTATAGCAGAAGAGTTCATACCTCTGATGCTTTTGATAGCTTATTCACATTTAAGAGACAGTCTCTAAGAAGGAGATTAGAGGAAGAATATTTGTTTTCTAATCCAAGATATGAAAGAGAATTGAATATCTAAGCAAATGGGAAACATCTGCAACATCTGTCAGTCTGTGATATCTTCCCAAGGAGGAAATCTCTGCTCACAATCAAGAATTCAATATTTGGATAATGAATGTTGTTGTTTATAGACTCAGAACGTGTCTGTGTCTTTATCTCAGATACTTAATTAGGTATTTAGAGCCAGGAATACATCGCAAACAACAACTGTTTTTCATTATTTAAGTTGTATTAGCAACTTTACTATCAGTCATCTTGTCTGGGTTAGATGATAAATCTATAATCATGAGGAAGGTTTAGTTAGGGAGTAGAAAGTCGGGCAGGAAATGCACTTTAAGAAAATGTTTTCAGTTGTGCATGTCCCTCTGGAAATACGTATCTGCACAACTAATTCAAGGAAGACATGCAATACTTTTCAAATCGATATCCATTGCTTAGTTGTGTTAACTTGACATGTACTAAAATGCCACACTAAAAAGCTTGAAGTAATAAGTTCTCCTTGTTCCATCATGCAAATGGTTTCTTCCCTTGCACTGTGCGCAGCCTGAGCAAACTTGCATGATTCACTGATATGTTTCTCACGTGGCCTTACTGTCTCTGTTTTTCTTCTTCCTTTTTATTTACATTTATATTGCTTGTTTTTTAAACTTACTGTCCTGTGTCATTGACCAATTGTACTGTCTACCTCTTGCAAATGTTTTCCAATGTGGTTTTTTTATGCTTCAAATGGCAATAAACTGAACTAAACTGAACTGAACTCTTCATACAAGTCACAAAGCGATGCCTTCATCCATGTAACTGGGGACAAATTGTATGACAAAATGTTTCCCTATTTGTATTAAATGCATTCAATTAAGCACCCTGAATCTTTCGAATGCAGGACTTTTACCTGAAATTTTTTTTTTAATTTTCCTTTCATATTACAGTAACTCAAATAAATTCCTTATAACACATTTCTTCCCCATACAACCAAAAAGTTTATTTGATCTCAGAGTGTTTTGTTGAATAAATGTTGGCCTTGAGATGAGAGAAAAAAAAAATCAGCTTCCAGGAACCGTATGATCTTGTTGACAGTTTTGACAGGAGATAAAGATCCGGGGCTTATTGGCTAGAAAATAAATCACATTTCGACAACCCAAATGTGTGATCAGTCTAGTCTATTTTTCTTCCATAACTGTTTGCTTTCAGGGAGATGCTGAACAGAGCTGTATTATTGAGGCACCATTTAGTCACATGTCAATTAGGTTTAAAAGCACTACTTTAATATACAGAGTTTACATTAAGCATAATGTGTTTTTTAATAATTGTTGGACATTTGTTGGTTCAAACTGAACTTTTTTTCTTACATTGTGTACTTTGATTGACTGATGAGAGTTACAATTATTTCCACAGGGACAACATATGTTTTTTTCATTCAGAGCAGAGAGAAAGGGTTAAACAGATAAATCAGAGTTTTTTATTTATTTATTTTTTAAACTTATGTAGACTCAGCAGTGAACATTGGATTCTTTATGCACTTTGTTGCATTCATTAAGTCCTAAATAGGCCTAAACTTTCATGTCTCAGGAGTCAATCAGTTTACCCAATAGTTGGGCATATCTGCTATAACAAGAACACATGAATTAGTTAGATTACTGTCGGCTATAGTTCTTATTAAATGAAGCCCTTTACTAAAATGAAAAGATTGATTTGTGCATTTATGGAGTCTACACTGTGGTTAATGCTGACCCATTCATTAAGATGTTCAAAACAAAGTCTCAATCATGTCAGTGACATAAAGCCATCAGATGAGGCTCTGGTGAAGAGCACACAGAGAGAAAGTCCTTTATAACACACTTAGCTTAGCATAAAAGAGAAAAACATGAGGAAACAGGTTGGCTGTGTCCTTTCACTTCTACCTTGTAAGGGCCAAACTAAGCAAAGCATGTAGATAGAGAATAGGAGACCCGCTAAACGAAGCTAAGCTGTTCAAAAGTGGTGCAGTGTGGATTGATATCAGTTATGAACCACCCAGGTGTATAATTCCACAACGGGTCAGAAAGCAAGTATGGCGCAATCCTAATATTGCTTGTTAGCTGATTTAATCCATCCTGACTTATCCCTTCAACCCTGGACTCTGACTGGTGGGACGCCAGGAGGGGGTTTCACTTTAACTTACTTAGTCGTGTAGTGTAAGGAGACAGATGTGTGTGTTGATGTGTGCTCATGTGAGCGGTGTGCAACAGCAGGGCTTGTTCTGTCTGCGTGTGCATTGACATATTCTGACAGGTCAATCAATGAGGAGGAGATGTAGTCTGCTATTGGTTCATTGACCTGCTGTGCAAGAAGAGAACACACAAGGGTCAAGTCATCCTGCCTCCACATGCTGCCTTCACTGCCCCCTACGACTGCTAACTGATTTCCTTTTCTACCCACAGTCTCTACCTCTTTAAGGGGGCCTTCCCTGATGTGGAATCTGAAACAGAGCTCATATGTTTATAAAGCAGTTTTGCTGACATTATTGCGTGAACGTGTGAGCCATATTTATTTGATGATGTTTTGTTGCATCAATGAAGAACTGTTTAAAAGACGTGTGTGAATGTAAGCAACCTTCTCGACATAAGCATGCAATACAGGTGCTGTATTCATAGAAAATATATACATGTGAACTATTTGACTTACTTTCATTGTGTATTGTATCAGGCCTGTTTCATAGATTTATAACTTTCTAAATGTGCCTGAATTTTTTTTCCTGTTGCAGTGAACTAATTTCTTTGCATCACAAATCCATGACAAAAATCAAACGACTGACACATTTCTGGGGTATCATGAGTACAAATGTAGCACATATATGGAATATTAATGGATGTTTGGAGAAAATAAAGGAAGAACAAAATGTCAATAAAATTGCATTTTTACACAAGTTTCATTTATTCATTCATGTATGTCTAAGGCTCAAATATAATGTCAAATCTCATCTGTTACCATGTGGATTACTGTATGTACATTTTAACTGCAGCTGCCATAGGTGTGACATTGCTTAGATCATAACTGTAGACCTCTAACAAACTGTGAGTTATCAAATTTTGATTAAACTATTATTTTCAAATCTAGGTGTTGGCCAGTCATTTGTCTGTTTGGAAAGCTTGAAAGATAAAGGAGAAAAAGGTAAGTAAGTGTTTATTCAAAGCACAGACAGTTTATGAACCACCCATGGTAGAAGCTGGGGTCAAACAAACATGTTTTCTCTCTCTCACCACGGTGTTATCTAGCCATGCAGGTAGTTTTAGTTTTATTTGCCAGGCTGTGTTTTCATTTTGAGTCCTTCTGTCACTGCATTTCATCAGCTTCTGCTGGGAAAGACTTCATTATTCCACCTTGGAAGATGTCCCTGTTAGGCACAGTTGAAAAATCAACAGCCTTAATTGTGTTGATCATGTGAGCTTATGTTTGTTCATGGCTGGCACTGAAACTAATTTGGAATATGAAACTCAATCATCTGAATATTGAACCAGCGCAAACGGAAGCACATCATCATTTTAAATTCATCTGATTGTGACATTGTGGAAATGATTCCTAGAATATATTTTGGTTTATTTTTATGCAGAACCAGAGAGATCATTTATATGTGCAGGAACAGGCTGTGTGTGAGCACACTGCCACAATTAAACACATCCGTCAGTGCAGGCGCTTTGTGTTAATGAGACGCATGACAGCTAGTATGCATATAGTGCATTTACACACTTCTGTCACCTGTAAATCATGTCTTGTTAAGTCGTTTATTCTAAATATGACAGAAAGCAGTAAAAAAAACAACAACATACAGACAGTTTGAAGTGGCAGTTTTACATCTCCTTCTCCCGAGAGCACAGCCTGTTCTGTGTTCCTGCAGTATAATCCAGATGACATTTTGTGTGTTTACTTGATAAGGCAACTTCTCTGTGTACTGTACAAGTCAGTAATTAACATCATATTTAATGTTACATAGGGTGGAATTAAGGGAAGCAGAGCTAACATATAACATGTAAATGAAGATTGAACAATTGATTTTAAAGAATTCAAATGTTAGATGAAGCTTCATGAAAACGTTAAACTTTCATAACGCTAACATCTTACCATTTGAAAATGTACTTCATATAAAATCACTTCTAGTTAATTTCGGCTTAAAAAAGTAACGACATTCCTTTGTAACACAGCATTTTAGAAATAATAGTGTGAATAAATGCATTTCCTGCAGGAATGTGCGAGTGTCAAAGAAAAGACTGGAGGCAGTGTTCATATAAGGAGGGGAAATTTTATTTATAACACATGGTGCTGACAGGGAGTCTCCAGCTCAGCGTCTATATTACAAGATTGATCTGCAAGGCTGCGCATTGACTGTACGGTATTTGGAAACCAAGATTGCAGTGGCACTATAAACACACGCTTGAAACAACAGACTCTTTCCCTTTTTTTTTCGTCATTTTCTTACAAAATGGTACAAACAACAATACAAAATATTTGTGCTGTTGACAATTTACAAAAAAATTCTTTAGACTCAACAACTGTGCAATCATTTTTTCAGCATTTTTTTCTCTCCTCCATTTAAAACTATGTGAGTATGGTACACCAGAATCCCTTCTGGACTGCAACCTTGATCATGCCGGCTGCGACACATTTTGAAATGTTGTATGGTTACTGTAATAGAACTCATCTGTCCATTATAAAAAGACACATGCAAAAAGCTCCAATTGTACAGGTACAGTTTGCCTAACTTGGTCTGTTTCGCTTCAAGCAAATACTACATTATGTACACTTGGACTTGAGCAGTATTTGGAGAGCCATTGTGAAACACTGCTGCCTGTCTTTGTAGTCCTGGCCATGGCAGAGGGGAAAAATAGTATTCTGCAGGCGCCCGTCGTCGTGTGTCGGTGTGTTCATGGTCAGGCAGTGTCCAGAGAGACCAAGTGTCCATTAGCTAACACCAGTCAGAGAGGGGGAGGAGCTAGAAGACAGGGGTGGAGTTCAGCAGTGCAATTGTTCTTCCTTCATTCTATCGTTTGCTAATTCTTTTTGTTTTAGCAAAGGAATGTCGCTGCTTCCTTCACCAACCTTCCTTCATTTCCTCTATACAAATTGCATTTACATGGTTGTGTCAAGTTTGACGGACTCCACGAATGATGTTCTGCCATGTGTGATAAGTGGTTGATAACATTCAGTATCATAATGGCATTGTGTCATGTATATATGTATGACACAGTTATAGGTCAGTTACCTTGTGTAAAGTGTGTGTATATGAACGTGTGTGTGTGTGTGTGTGTGTGTGTGTGTGTGTGTGGGGGGCCTCCTGCTTTGTTTGGCCCTGAATCCAGTCTGATTTGACAGCCTGAAGCTTGTCTTCATTCAGTAAACGCTGGATGGCCTTCAGTTATGTTGGCGCCCCGCAGCTGAATAAGAACAATGCTGAAAGGGCTTATATAATATAGAACACTCAAATATATACAGTAAGGCCTAGAGGAGTGAGTGTGTGCTAGTAAAGACTGTACAAGTTTGTTTGAAGTGAAAACTTTACACCATGATGAAGCTAATCTTAAACAGCGACAAGAGTATGGCTGTAAGCTCACATAGAATCATACCGACTCTCTTAAATGCAACATGGCTTTTAGTGGTGAAATATACATTGCCGAGTATTCATTCGAAACAGAGCTGAAATGAAAGACAATGCCACACAGAAACGGATAAATCATGTTACCAAATGTATAAAACTGTTCTGTATATACAACATGTACTTGTCAGAAATAATCACAAATAGCAGAAAGTAACAGCTGTGTTTATTTTGTGGAGATACTCTTCAGGCTGAGCAGCAGCCGGGGAAGAAAAGAGCTGATCCAGCAGCACGCTTCTGAAACTGCTCTTTTCTCGCGTCAACTGTGAGAAACTATGAGAAATGCAAAAAAAATAAAAATAAAAATAAAAATAAAGCCACTGATAATGTCTACCCCGCAAAGTACTTCATCAGACATTTATCTATTAATCTAAATAATAATGACATTCTTACCCTGTTAACCTTAGTAATTAAACCACAACGTTCCTTCCCATGTTTATAGTGGAATAAAACTCCCATCCTTATTTCTTTGTTTTGGCATGTTGAATATCTATATGTACTAAGAGGCATTCATTTGACTTACATCTTGTCACAAGTGAAATCCTCTGAGTCCAGTCAGAAGGTAGTGATAAGAGTATTATTACAGATGAAGAAAAACCTGCATGGGGAATGTTTTGATCATCAGTTATTCTCATGTGAACCATGAGAAGGTAGCTGAAAAGCAGCAGGAAAAAAGGAGGAAAAGAGCATCCTTCTCATCAAATCACATCTAAAGAACACTGTCACTACTGAGATTTCCTCCAAGTATTCATCTTATCCATAATTAATAGAAAATCTGGTCAGTCCACATCAAGATGAAACAGGCTACAATTGAGAAGTGTTTCAACGGGCACTCAGAAGATAAGGAATGATTAAACCTTTCTATCATTCACAAGCATCTCTCTGCTTTCCCTGTGTGAGATGTTTTGCATATTTAAATAATTTAATACAAAGACTAAAGCTCTTTCTCCCTTTTCTCGACGTGCAGTTCTGGGGACTGAAACATGATCACAAAAGCCCATGGGTAGCTCTGCTTTTTCATTTAGACACAACAAAACTCTTTTTCATAATGTCTCTCTTTTAAAACGCCATTACTGGAGCTTTAGTTGTGCAAGTCTGCTTTGATAAAGTGTAGAGCTTCACAACAGACTTTCCGTTCCTCTAACTTTGTCTCTAAAACCTCTTGAACTTTCAGCCAAAAATTTCAGGAGAAAATTTCTGATGAGTGAAACGGTGCCTGAAGAGAGACAGATTGTGAAGGCGCTAAAGCCCTGGCTGAGACTCAATTCCCACAGTTTCTGTGACAGGGACGAACCCCGAAGTTTGTATATTAAAAGTTTGCCGAGCTACAACAGCAAATCAAACAAAAGAAAAAAGGAGAGAAAGAAAGACAGAAAGAAACTCAGAATGGGGCTTTTACAAGCTCATAACTGTTTGCAATACTTTCAGTGCTGCTTGAACTAATCCTGTATTTCATTTCCTGCATGTTTGTACAGTTTTGATATATTTGTCATATATTTACTGCACAATAACTGAGGCCATGGTAATTACATTTGGGTGACAAGGTTAAACATGCTAACCTTAATGGTCTTAAAGGCAAATATTAATAAAAGTAACCCTCATAAGCACTTCATATACAGCGACACAAGACCTTTAAAATGTAATAACAAGCCAAGTTTTTATGTGAAAATACAGAGAGCCCAAAACAAACACAGCTGCTATTGAAGCCACAATAAACAAAGACACACAATGCATTCCTTCTCTAAGACTGTCCCATACCATAATTTTGTGATTTTAGTCATCACATTCAAGTTGGCTGTGATCTAGGAGCTCAGAAATGCCTGTCTTAAAATGTTTTGTTCATAACTTACAGACACACTGTAGGCCTGTTTACAGTATGACTAAATAAATCGCCCTCGTTAGCCAGTCAATGCTCCTCTGATATCTCCTGCAGCCACTACAGAACTGCAGGACCATAGAGATGACAAGGGGAGGTCTGAGTTAAAGGGTAAGGGGTCATATGGGGGGGGGGGGCATGTGAGCCCATAAAATGGCAACCAATCCTGAGTTAGCGGGAGTCTGCTAAAATACGCACCACTGAAGGCACTTTTTAAACAACAGTGCTTCTGTTCTAAGTAATTCAAGTTCAAGAAAGAATAAACCAAGGCCCTCCATGCAAGAAGGACTTTGATATTCGTGTTGTTGTTCTTTTTTTTCCACTTGTGTTCCCCTCAGACAAAGCAAGCAGCTCGACCTAAAGCTTCTGCAGAGAGAGGCAGGAGGGGGGCTGACAGTGTCGGAAAAGGGAAAATCTTCGTATGGAGCGGCTCCAATTGAAGGTGAGTGGGGACAAAAAAAAAAAAAAAGCTACGCAAACTCAAGGAAAACAAAATCTGACGAGTGACAACTAAAACCGGCATCAAGCATAAAACCTGAAATGAAACATGAGCACAAGTTTGAAAATACAAACTATGAGAAGCCTGCAATCCAGAGGTTCTGCTTCACTCTGAGACAGGCTTCAAAGCAGGAGACTCGTGGCAGCGGTCCTCTGTGGTGGGTTTGGTTGGTTGGTTGGTTGGTTGGTTGGTTGGTTGGTTGGTCAGTGTGAAGATGTCTTTATCGTGTGTTCAATCAGGGTGTAGTAGCCCCGTTTAGGATAGTGGGACAGAGCATAGCAGGCCAGCTGACAGGACGAGGGTGTGTGTGTATGTGTGTATACATATGAGTCTGGGTAGACTTAATCGTCTCCTCCTCCATACATATCGGCCAGCTTTTTGAAGCGAGGGCCCCAGTCGTTGAGGTAGTCATAGTCCTGGTCCCCCGTGCTCGAGGAGTTGAGGGAACTGACGGAGCCGGCTGTGGAGCCGCTGCCCTCATAGTCAAACACCAGCAGGGAGTCATAAGGAGGAGCAGTGGGGTCGTTGTCTGCCGCTCGCAAACCCTGAACATAAAAAAAAAAAAAAAAAAAAACACAAGGAAAGGTAGTGGTCAATACCTACAAACCTTTAGTGGAGAATATGAAAAAAATGTAAAAATCAGATTGATCAGGGATGGAAAGGCAATAAAACGTTAGAATTAAAAAACAAATTATTGAGAAATGCACTTAAAACTCAGAGTAAAAGAATATGTGGAAACTGAAGCTGCAGTTCTAGGTCCCATGTTTGGATCAAGCTCTGAAAATACCAAAGAATACATTTCCCATGATGCAACTAAAACCATATTTTCCCAACACACACTTGCTTTTTGGTACTTGCTTTAAATTCCTTAGACTTTTAAACTTAACTTAGATTTTTTGGCACCTTTTCTTTTCACAGTGACATCATCAGGGTTACTTCCTCAGAGCTGTAGAGGATATTTAACTACTGTTTTCTTAGTATGAAGAACACTCTATAGGTAAAAAGTATCACAACATGTCAGTCTTATGTACCAAATCATTTTACTTTCATTTCTGTTTTAAAACACATTTGTATGCAAAATAAATGATGCACAGTCATGTATTGTGAAAACAATTGGATATAGTTCCATCAAAGGTCGTACAAAACATAAGTAATGTTGGGTGAACTTTGAAGAAACTGTACAAACGGCTCATTTGAAAACTGGATGTTGTACAGATCCTTATGGAGATGTGCAGCATAAATGAACGATTAAACAGTTCAGACTAGTTCCCATGTTAAAGCTTGGCAGACCTTAAAAATGACAATAGGCCAATAGAAACACTCTAATCAGGTAGTCTCATTGAGATCAGGATGTCTTTGAGCAGAAGAAATAATAAAAAAGTCACAAAACGAAACACTTGGGTTCACACACTCCCACAAACAAACAGCATCAGAATCGACCACACATAACTTAAAAAGTCTGTACTATATGTGGATTTGATAAACTTCTCAAGGTGGGTGTCTTATAAAAATCTCTCATAAAGGGTACATTGGCCTGTTTTTTGTTTGGTTCCATAAATAAAAAGAGCTTTGTGTGTTTGCTGCTGGGGCTTCATACACTTGTTTCTTAGAATGAGAAATGAGGACAATTGACCTTAAGGTTAGGCAAGTAAGAAGAATGGACTTCATCCACTTCACTGTAATACAGAAAGATGCTACGTGCGGAAACCTAAAAAGCCTCAACCCCCAAGGGGACAGTGCATGACAGGAACACCATGTGTTTGCTGTGTTTGTGTTTTACCAGACTGCTGGAGCGAGATCAGGGGAGTACAAGTGTGAGTGAGGGAGATAGAGAGAGAAAGAGAGAGAGAGGGAGAAAGAGAGAAAAAAGAATGATAGAGAATGAATAGAAAGAAAGAAAGAGAGATAGAAAGAGGAAGAGGGAGAGAGTGAGAGAGAAAGTCAAGGCTGGATGGATCAAAGCTGAACAGCTGCCAACACCTCTCGAGTGTGAACGTGTTGTCACGAGTCTGTCAATCAGCATTTTCTCGCAACAGTGTGCCAGCAGTTTGTGTGTGTGTGTGTGTGTGTGTGTGTGTGTGTAAGTGTGGATAAAGCTGGCAAGGTGAGTGCAGCTGTAAAGTAAAACAAAACTCTGCGTTGTTTCCATCACTCTACTAAAGTTTACATATTGAACAGCATCCAAAATGAGTAATCACATTAGATGTCAGATCGATGGAAAGTGAAAGTGAGAGGCTGGCTTGCTGTGGAAGAAACAATCTAATGAGGGATGAGCTATTATGCATGCCAGATGTGACGCGTGTCCGTTGTGTCTGCGTTAATTCACCTCGTGGATGAAGTCCCCGATGTCTCCAGGGTGGGGCACGACAGGTCTGATTGGGTACTGGGACTCTGGGATGATGGGACGTTCATCCACCCTGCGGACACCGGGCGGCTTGCTGATGATGTGCTCCAAGGAGTCCGGCTGCTGCAGCTGGCTCAGGTCATAGTCCTACACAGACATCGAGATGTGAATGGTGCAAAGAGGGCAACGTAGTAAGCATGTGTGATAATGTGGGTGTCTTTTAGGCTCTCACCTGGTCCTCTTCTCCTCCTCCCTCCTCATCGTATTTTAGTATATTGTCCCTGACGTCATCTTCAGGGTCAATGAGCAGCTGCTTGGTCTGCCTCTCCTTCTCTCTGCGCTTGATCCACACCACAAACAACAGCACCAAGCCTGCACGACACACACATGAACATAATGAACGTCTATGTTGACACTGTGATAGTCTGTATAAAAACCAGAACAGATAATCAGGAGATACTCTACCATTATCATTTACATAAAAAACATTTGAAAAGCCATGCTAGATGAATGCTAACATGCTAATTTGAGAAGGTAGTGTTTAAATAGTTTCTATCTTGGTTTAGCATGTTAGCACAGAAACATGATAATAATATGTGAAGCTGAAGTTGAGGTTGATGTTATTTATATTGCAGGTAGTTCTTCAAAAACTAAAGTAATGCACATACACTTGAACTTGATGACTCACCAGAGAAAAAAGTTTACAAAAATTTGAACATGTCTTCCTAAGGGGAGAAGACTGCACCAATCTCTATGACCTCATCCCATTAAATATCTGTAGCAGTGTTTCACTTACAACCACAGATATGAGCCTCATGAGTCATGACATAGTGGTAGAGGAAAGGTCAGAAGAGCACCAAAGTAATGGATTCATATACAGGAATCCTGTTTCTCAATGTTTGGTCATACATTTGTGCCAATCCATTTGGTATATTTTGAGATACATTGCAGAAAAGGGGAAAACTTTCAGCTGCTGGTCGATTAGGATGAAAGTCAAACGATCACCATTGTCTATAGAATATTTCCTCTAGGGACTGTTAATGTCTGTAAAAAAAGATTCACAGCACTTCTACCAAGATCTGATGAGGGATTTCAGTCTGAAGTCTTCTTCATCTCTTCCTTCATCCAACTGTCTTTTCTTTTTGGCATTCTTTTGTAGCATGTATTGGTGATAATTAACTTCACTTTTTGTGGCTTTGTTGGCTTTTGCAGATATTCCCTGTGTGTGGTCGTTTTCTTCCTCTAGAGAGAGATTTCCAAACTTGCTGGTCAATTCAGCATAAACATTTTCAATTACATTGGAAAATTCCTCGAGCTGCAATATGCCTATAGGACTAGTCGCTATGTATGAATTATGCAACCACAGCAACAAAATAAGCTAGCAGCATGAATCAGCAGATATTTACCCTCACAGAAAAAGACAAAAAAGTCCTTGTCAAGTTGATGCTTTAATATATTATGCAAACTATTGTTCATGTTGTTGTTTCACAGCCTGGTAAATGTTTAATGACTGCACCCAGAACAGCACTTTTTGGACAGATGGGCGTATGAAAGCCAATCATCTGCAGTTGAACTTTCTGAGTTGCATGTACAGTGCATGAGTGTGGGTGTGTGTGAGCAGTGTGTCAGCGCTTGAATAAACTATGAGAAGCTGTTACTCACTGAGTAGTATGATGATACAGATGAGGATGGAGATGATGGCTCCGGTTCCTAAACCAGCTGCTGCCACTGCCCCGAGGGTGGTGCAGTCTCCGTTTTCATCGCAGGGACACACCTTCACTTTGATGACCGACCTATTAGACAACGGTGGGTTCCCCGAGTCTGACACAGTTATAGGGACCTCGTACACCCCTGGCTCTAGATAGATCTGGTATCGCAGCCCGAGACGAGCATAATCACCTGCATAGTGAGGAAAAGAAAGAGGAGAATAACAATTACAATTACAATGTAAATTATCATCACATTTACCCATATAAGCAAAAAGCCAGTTCCTATCTGGGTCCTCAATGATAATACATTTTCATAACAATTCTGAAAGAAAAGGCTTCCATATAAGGCATGGGAATATGGTTACCATGACTTATAGTAACAGATGATTAATATATTAGTGAGGATTATTCCTCCTATGAGGAACTTTCATTTTGTATTGATTTTGACCCCCTTGGAGGAAGCAGTATGTATTACTTCTTTCTGGTTTTGCCTTCTATATGTGTAAGTAGTATTTTCTGATGAAAAATCTCATCTCCTTTTCTTTAAACAGTCACATGCATTACTCACTGGGAATATTCACTGTGGATAATGTAAACAAAGACTGTTTGTTCAGGATTATGTAACTGTAACTATATAGAAACAGTCAGTCAGACTGACGGGTCGGTTTGGTTTTGTAGGTTTTATTGAGACATCAGTAATGATTTCAGTCGCTTTCCTAATCAATTAAAAATTCTTCACAGGAGCTTTAATGTTTTCTTGTATATGGCATAGTAAGCCAGTAAAGTTAGAAGCCTTATAATAAATTAGAGCTGGTTAGAGTGACAGTATAGTAAAACATGTACAGATGGTTCAAATGGTTTTGTACTATGTTTTGCAGAAAATTCTTTCAGAGTCACTGAAAAACCATTCCATGCACTGATCATAAATATATTATTTTATGGTGATTAGTACTTTTGTCTTGCACTGACACCTCCTCACCACTTATCCGAGAAATTGTCCAGTTGCGTCGGATGCTGCTGGGAAAGCTCGGCAGCTCGAAGACAAAGGGTCCAGCGTTGGGATCTGTGTCAGCATCAGCGGCAGTGATGTTGACACCGTTGACGTTTCTGTTCACTCGCTCACAGATCTGAGACTCCTTGGGTATAAGTGCTGGGGGGTTGTCATTAATATCTATCAGATAGATCTGCAGGGTGCCCGTGCCGCTGGCTGCAGGAGAGCCTGGGAGCAAAATGAGGGAAGAGAAAATAGTATCATGATGTGTGCATTGAAAGGAACGATTGAGAGGGAAGAGGGACAGAGTTGAGGACCAGTAGAGGGAAGTAATGAAAGAGAATTAAAAGAGAGATTGAAAAAAGAAGGAGAAGAGGTGAAAGTCACAGTGTTTAGAGGCAAGGATGGTGTACAGCTGGAGGACAATTTCTGCCTCTGACAGAAATGCTACTGACAGTTATGCTCCCAGCTCCTCTTTTTGCCTTACAGCCAAATCAAACCCATCAGAGTCAATCCAGATGCAGGCACAGCAGCTCAAATCGCCTAGAGAGGGCTTAGGTAGAATAATGATGACTGTAACACAATCAAACAAGTCCTTGTCTGAGTGTATTTACACAGTACAAAGAGAGACATCTATAATTCTGTAAATAAAGGCTCCTCTGCCGGCAATATTAACAATCTACTTCAATGCCGCACATTCATTGTGATACACAAATATTCCTTTCTTTCACACAAAACCACCTAAATGCACATGTACATGCACTAACTATGTGCCTGTGTGGTAGGAGGTCTTAAGTATGTGTGCTTACATACTTAATGAATGCCTGCTCAAGGATAACCAAGGAACCTACTTTAAGATACAGTATGAAAATATGAGAAGATATGAGAGCAGTATGACGCCTTTGGAGTAACGTATAGATACGTGAAAAAAGAGACAGCTGAGAGAGAAGAATGCATGTATGTGAATGAGTGGTGTGAAAAAATAGCAGAGAGAGAGAGAAAAAAAGCACGTAGCTGTATAGCTGTATTAAGCTCATGGCTGTTTATTGAGTGTGTGTCAGGAGGTGACGACCCTTAGCTGCCTCCAATTACGAGTCATTTCCCCTCCATGCCCTGCTGGCTGAGCCATTGGATGGAATCAAGCAACCTCTGGGCCCATCTCTTGGATGAGATAAGGGCGATATAATTTAGAAAGATTTATGCAAAGCTGACAGATGTGCCAATTAAACATGGCAACAGAGCAAGACATTTGCCACAAGAAGAGTGAGACACAGTCTGACTCAGTGTAAGTGAGTCTGTCGACAGTTTGAACTCTGTTTGTGGAAATACCATTACTTAATATAAAAGACGTTTTATAAACTCTTCTGAAGCTTCAAATACAGCATTTTGGTCGTTGCCATTTCTTCTGTTTTTTTAGTCTTAAGTGACCATAATGGGATGACAGGATGGATACAGATAGCTTCATCTACTTCCTGGTTACAGTTTTTCTTTGTTTACAACATTTTATTTACAGGAAGCCAGGCCTCGGCGTTATCGCTGATTTTATCCCTAAATGAGACCATTACTTATAATTGCTATCATGTTTGTTACGTTGGAAGACAACAGGCCGGGGGTGTCTGGCACAGTGTAGTTCCTAGAGCAATGATGACAATGACAATTTATAATAGGGATTGATCAATTCAATTCATTTTTTACTTTGGTGATATACATACTAAGAAGTAAAAATTATTTACTTATTGGTTTAATGCAGTAAGACTTCTTTTTGCATCCAGTGAAGTGCCCCTACTGGCCATTAACAAGAATGCAGGTTTAAGACACTCCTGCATTTTCCCCACTTTTGAAACAAAGAGGCTATGTCCACTATTTTCAATCTATTTGATATACACTTATTACTTTATATATTAATGATATAAACATATTATACATTCTTGTTATTTGTATTCAGTCTGTCAGTTATTAAACAGACTCAGAACTGAACAGCTCACACAAAAAGTGAACAACAGCCTTCATATTTTAAACAGTGGTAGCACTTAAAATAATATCCAATGAAAATGTGTTACAGCATTATGTAAGTAGATTCTACCCAAATAGCACTGTTTAACCTAATACTTGATGTATTAGTATTTACCTTCAAACCGAGTAGTCTGGTCTAATATTATGATATGTCTAAAATTGTAGTATTTTGATGATGTCATGAACCCAGACCCTCCTAAAAGCTTAAACAATGTTTACAAGCTCTTTAGAGGAATATTTCAATGATTGTCTCTGTTCTAACAGATTTCAACAATTCTATCACGAGTGGCTTATAACCAGCAGATTATATTCATACACTTAAGTATCAAATGCAAAAGTAACACATATAACATATACCTATTTAAACATAAAACACATGGAGTGAACAAACACCAAGGTTCAAACACACATAAGCACGCACAGAGGCTTTTCCGTTGTGCTGGTTTGTTAATCCCAGCCATGTATGGGGGACATGTGGAAGCAGCTTGCCACAGCTGATAGGAGAATTATGTGGGTTTTAACCAGCTAAATAAATAATTATGTTTGTGTAAATTCCTCAAAAGGATTTGTATTAACTCCTTTTTTTGATGTTGGCTTAAAGATGTGAGGCATGGTGAAAAGACTTGTAGCAAGCCTGCTGCCATATGTTTTTTTTTTTTGAAGAGCACACTAACACATAAACAATGCCAGAGGTGTTCAAAAAGAAAAAAATATGTCAGAAAGGTCTGAGGCAGTTAGATTGTGTCATGGGGGCACATGAAATATTGTAGCACTTCTCTTTATGCTGTCACCATCTCTTCCACTACCAGTTCTGTCTATTTATACCTCTAACCATAATCCCTCTCACTTTATGAGGTCTGGCACTTCAGTCACACCTTAATATTCTGACTAATATACAGGAAGCAGGCACACGCACGCACACATGCATGACGCACACACACACACACACACACACAGACAATTTGACCTGCTGGATTTCCATCTTTTGGTGTTGTCATAGTTCAAATATCAAACAAATCTTAAAGTTGAATGCCAGGAAGTAAATGAGATGTTCATAAAAGTCCAAGCAACAACCTCTAATCTCACTGTCTCTTCCTTCCCACCAGCACAGCAGGTTACACATCATGGTGTCTGACATTGTCAGTCATTGCACAGAAACACAGCCATGTGCTCGAAAATGAGTTTCAAATGAGTGCTTTTGAAATACATTAATTCTCAAACCTAAAAATACATCAATGTTTCAAAGCCAGCACAACTTTAGGTAAATACAGCAGCACACTGCTCGTTACAGATAAGGCAATTTGGGAGGAGGGGGAAAAGCATTTCCCCTTTTACTAGGAGAAGAACTTGCTTCCACTTGAGAAAAAGGGAGTTTATTTACTTGCTGCGATTGAGTTTGTGCTCAGTTAAACATGAGGCACGGTATATAATGTATATGCCACATTATGAGAAAAGGAGGCAAAAGCAGTCATGGACTGAAGATAAGAAGTTTGAGAGAAGAGAAGAGAATAGGGGAGAGGATCAAGAGTGTGACCAGCTGTGCGAATCCAGGATTTTCTCTAACTCTTACCCAGCTGCACTGCACTTGAATGCTGCAGAGCTTTCACTTCTTTATATCCCTCTAAATCCACACAAATGTCTTTCTATCAAGCACCAAGTAACATTTTTGACATTTTTCACTCTAACTTGTATTTACCTTTCACATCTGACTGTTTCCAACAATGATTAAACCTCTAAGCATTCCAAGCATCAACTCCAGCATCACTGGAATCAACAATGAGAGTGCTTTCAACAGTGGGTAATAATCTGACTGTTTTGTATACTGTTGTATCAGGTGTAGATCAAGATTACAAAGAAATAACTAAAGTCAGAAAAGTAAAACTTAAAATAATGAGAGGTGCATTTACCTTCTAAGAATTAAAAAAATCAGAGAACACTTGGGATTATAACGTTGCATCACATGGATCCAGGCAGACTGCATACAATGGCACAGAAAAGGAACAACATACTGTGATGGATTTTGTTGCAGAGGACTGCAAAATGTTAGACTATTACAACTATGGCTGAATGCTGTCTATGGCTACCAAGGCCAGTTTACTGTGTCACCCTCATCCACTAAATTGACATCTGACTCTGTGTGAATGCAGCGCAAGCGTATCATTTATCAGTTGATTCTGGTTTAAGTTTACACAAGGTAGCGTGATAGTTTTTCCCAAAACAAAAATGTTGGAATTTTTTTGTTTTGTTTAATGTATGACACCTTTAAGTTCAGTTTCGGAATGATGTGTGTTGGTCGCTGAAACAAAAAATAAGGACGATTGAAAAAGGTAAAAAAAAAAAAAAAAAAAAAAAAGCATAGAAAGCAGCACCTTTAATCACGCATATTTTGAAAAAAAAAGAAGAAGCCCAAGTTTAAAACACGTCTTAAAAGAGGCTCTTACCATTGTCTGTTGCCAGGAATGTAGCTTCATAAATATTGTTTTTGACATAGACAGACTCCCGGTCGAGCATGCCTGTAGTTATGATCTGACCATTGGTCCTGTTGATGGACAGCCAGTCTGCCGGGTCGTTCAGCTTTGAATACCTATAGAGACACACAAGGACAGATCGATGAAGGAGTTAGCGCTAGCATTTCTGTGTTTACAAACAATTGTAAATGTTCTCCTGAGTCTATGCAGAGATAGATTGCCTGTGCATACACACACTCTGAAAATCACAACAGCCTGACCTTCACACAGTTTAATTCTTCATTGACTTCTCCTCTGGCGCCTGCAGCCAACAGTCAATTTCACATCATTTTTCACTCCTGTGCACCAGGCATTGAAGTCAATTACCTCCCTAGTTAAGCACCGCTGCAGCTGCCTGTGTGTTGCACGCACACATTCTAGGCTATGCTGGCAGAGGCCAAACGTCATGACAGGGTTGTGTACAGTACATTCATGTTTTAGTGCTTGCATTTCTCCAAATGTCACTGTGTGTGTATGGGCAACTTTGTATAGGGTGGAGACAGGATGATAGGATCTTGGTCCTGATCGTCAAACAGAAATGTGGATGTGGGAGCAGGTGGTGATACTCCCCAGGGATAAAGGCCAGCAGAGGAACAGGGGATCATCTCCAGGATTGAATCCCAATCTCCCTCTGATCTAACTGTTCTTGTTTCACCGGCTTTTGTAGCTTTGCGCTCGTTCCACACTTGCAATTCTATCTGATCTCTCTCGACCTGTGCCACCTCATCTCATCTTGCTGTGCTTTTGTATTCATACATTTTCTTATCCCCCCGTATCTTCTCATCCTCGCCTCTTTCCTTCTGTGACACACAGTTCATCAACTGTAACCTCTCACGGCTGCGGTCTCCCTTTTGCTTTTGAAACATCATCAGTGGCTTAGAAAACAACATTCTGTATCATTTTGATTTCATTTACTTAATGTCAGTCAGGGCAGCAAGGCCTTGTTGCTATGTGACATATATATCCAGCTTTTAAATCGATCTAAATTGAAATAGATTCGTCCGTAACGCTCGCTTTTTTATTTACTGAATTGCAGGGTTCTTAAGGCCACTGTACAGCCCACTTGATTATTAACATTAAAAATGAGCTGTGTAGATTTAGTATTTAGACGGCAGGGACTGAAAGCCTGGAAGGGTGGGTGGCAGGAAGGAGGGGGTACAGAGAGCATAATCTCTCTCCTGCAGTGAGGACGGTGGGATTTTCCCAGCAGGCAGTGGGCATGATCCCAGGCGTAGCACGGTGTGGGGAAGGGGATCACAGAGATGACATTCCTACACTCTAGACGTTTTCACACAGGCTAGCCAAGCCCACAGCCACTAACTGGCGGACTGTGAAATCACCAAAAGAGCTACAGCGAGTCTGTCACAGTAGGAGGGGGGATGTAAGAGAGAAGGAAATGATTTGGAATTGGTGGGAGAGGAGAAAGGGACAGGGAGAGGTGATAATGGAAATAAGTTGCATGACTGTAGGATCTGGTTTTCAATATCTTTGTTAACCTTGACTTAATACCGAATATGATCTTGTTTAATGACCAAATAAAGAAACGACAACTTAACTAAAACCTTCTAATACCTTATGTCCGGCAGAATCTCAATTGGTTTTGTCAAGCCATATTGACTCACTTTCAGATGTTGGACCCACTGTTCAAAGTTCTAAATGTCACTAATTTAAACTGTTTGTTCAATCCATACACAAACAGAAGTGATCCAAACATACTAGGGCAACTAGCTTGATGTACAGTCTAAACATCCTTTTTTGCACGCATGTTTAGTAAAAACAACATCAGCTGTGTTTTCCTTTCCCTCACACTCGATGCTACTGCTCAACATTTTTTACCCTCCTTTTTCTCTTGTAATCTGATCCCAAATGAGTCTAATCAACAAGTAGGAACAGACACACTGCTCATACTTGTATTTTATTATCCCTGCATACCACAGGTCTGCACTTGGGCTTTATGTGTAATAATATTGAGATTCAGGAGCGGTCTTAATAAACCGGAAAGCAGCCCAAGAACTTATTGACCATGAAAGAAATGAAGACCCGTAATGGCACAGATACCACTTTGGTTCTTTGATCCTAGGGTCTGGTAGACCCTTGAAGAGCAGGAGTTAGGAAGAAATTAAATCACTTTTGGCAGATATCGCAGAACTTGTTCACATAAAAAATAAACTATCTGCAACTGTTGAAGGAAGGGTGAAGAAATGGGATTTTTGTCATTTGGTTTTACTGACCCTTAAAAATGAGTAACAGGCATAAAAATGAGAAGAAGACAATGTAGATTATGGTGTGTGTGAGTGGGAGCAAGAGTTCCTTTCCCCATAATGGGCTATAAAATACCACCAAAGCCCATTCTTTCCTCGGTCACACTGCATGATAGCGGGAGTGACTGTGTGCTCTCTGAAGATAAAAGCTATAACACAAAGGTTTGTTCACAAAGCAGAGTGCTCTGACCACCACCACACGTTAATTAAAGTCTCCTAAACAGCCCTCTATGCAGGTTTAATAAACCTTATATGAACAAATGAAGTCTTGAATGAACAGTTCTTGCAGCGAAAGTCATTTCCAACACGCTGAATAGACAATCTGCGGCATTATTATTTCTGGGCTAGAGAAAAACTCCAGATAGGTTAAGGGCAGAATGTGGCTGCTTTTAAAACATTTTCACTTACTTTACTTTTTCTTATGGCGCCCCATAAACAATGGGGCCACTCTGGCCATTAGAATAATGATTGTGAAAGCAGCCACAGTGTTTTTGTTTACAAGTCCCTACTGTCAACAACATTACTGTCTGCAATTGGTAGCCCCCCTGCTTACCTTTAAACCATTTTGTTTTCTTTTTCTTGGAAAGGTGAACAGTTCCTGTTGACTCTGGTGCTATTTTGGAATACAAATCTGGTTTAATTTTTATTTTTCTGTGTGAAAGTTTTACTTTTACTTACTGCGTCTTATCTTCAGTCCTATCCTCGCGCCTTCTATTACCTCAAAGTTTCTCTCGTTTGGGAGTTGGTTGGTGTGTGAATATAGCTGGATGCATGATTAGGGCTGTCAGGTTAGTTATTTGAGCAAGTAGCAGTGAGAGGTATGACATTTATTTTTCAAGCCCCCAACCCTGAGGATGAAAAATGTATGTCTCAAGCTTAGCCAAGGCGGTTTGGGTAATCATTTATGCCGGTGTCTGGAGTCCCATGTCTCGACCTCACTAGTCGGGTATCTGACAAGTGATGCACGATGCCTCACTCCCCCCCTCACCTCCCCCTCGCCTTACTCCTTTCCACATTGTCTCCTCTTCAGCTCCAACGGGACACTGTCAGCCTGTCCCTCTTTTGATAAGCACCTGTCAAGATCAAACCTTGACCTGAAGTCAGCTCATCATACTTAGCTTCTTTTGCTCAGACCCTTTAGCTCTTTTTCATTTTAGTTTGGACGGTAGCAGCTCCCTCTGAATCTTCACTTTGTCTCTCTTTGTCTCTCACACATGTCTCCTCTAGGCAGTCTGACATGTCAATTGACATGTGATTGATACAGTTTGGAGGAATGCATAGTTCTTTGTGCACTAATAATTAGAAAATGAAAATTGTGATTAGTGTCCTTACATAACAATTGAGTAGATACCTTTTATGGGACTCATGTAAATCCGGGAATTGATAGTGATCCCATTCAGATGGATCCAATTGAATGAGATTGTGTATCTGCCATCTCTACAGTCCTGCCTCCTCTTGTAGTACAGAGGAAAACAGACTGGGCTTGTGTTACAGAGACAGTGAAAGACCACAGTAATGGTTGTAAAACACAACTCATTTTCAGACGGAAAGTACTGCAGTGTGACAAAGGTCAAAGAGTGAATTCAACAGGATGAGAGAGAGAGAGAGAGAGAGAGAGAGAGAGAGAGAGAGGGATGAGAGAGAGGGATGAGAGAGAGAGAGAGGGATGAGAGAGAGAGAGAGAGGGATGAGAGAGAGAGAGAGGGATGAGAGAGAGAGAGAGAGAGGGATGAGAGAGAGAGAGGGATGAGAGAGAGAGAGAGAGACAGAGAGAGAGAGAGAGAGAGGGATGAGAGAGAGAGAGAGACAGAGAGAGAGAGAGAGAGAGAGAGAGAGAGGGATGAGAGAGAGAGAGAGAGAGAGAGAGAGAGAGAGAGAGAGAGAGAGGGGGATGAGAGAGAGAGAGAGAGAGAGAGAGAGAGAGAGAGAGAGAGGATGAGAGAGAGAGAGAGACAGAGAGAGAGAGAGAGAGAGAGAGAGAGAGAGGGATGAGAGAGAGAGAGAGAGAGAGAGAGAGAGAGATAGAGGGATGAGAGAGAGAGAGAGAGAGAGAGAGAGAGAGGGGAGGAGAGAGAGAGAGAGAGAGAGAGAGAGAGAGAGAGAGAGAGGGATGAGAGAGAGAGAGAGAGAGAGAGAGGGACAGAGAGAGAGAGAGAGGGATGAGAGAGAGAGCGAGAGAGAGAGAGAGAGAGAGAGAGAGAGAGAGAGAGAGAGAGAGAGAGAGAGGATGAGAGAGAGAGAGAGAGAGAGAGAGAGAGAGAGAGAGAGAGGGATGAGAGAGAGAGAGAGAGAGAGAGAGACAGAGGGGATGAGAGAGAGAGAGAGAGAGAGAGAGAGAGAGAGAGGGATGAGAGAGAGAGAGAGAGAGAGAGAGAGAGACAGAGAGAGAGAGAGAGGGATGAGAGAGAGAGAGAGAGAGAGAGAGAGAGAGAGAGAGAGAGTACACATTGTACACCCAATTTACTCTCATTTGCTGGGAGATTAGCAGGGAAATTTGTTCATATCTTATCCCAAGAGAAAATGGGAATGAAAGAGCTGCTGGAGTGTAAGGGGTGGAAAGAAGTGGTATTAATGTCATGGCACACAGCCATTTTATCAACTGGTTATAAAATATGTGACCATGAGGGGAAACCTGCCCGCACAGGAGCCTTGTCAATGGCCCAAAATGTAAATATATGAAGCTGTTAGTACCATCAACTCTTGACACTGTCTTCTGGTTGAGTGTTTGGATGTTACACTGAAGTCAAGTGACTTATTTGAAAGAGCACAAAAGTCTTCTTGGAGAAACAGAATATTGTTATTTTATTCAGGAGACCAGGGTTAAGTTCATGCGTGAAACATAAGCCTTGTCTTACAATATAAGGCAGCTATTGATTGTCTTATTTTCGGTATCAAAGGTATTTTATTGACATCATAAGCTGTGTCACATACATAACTAAAGTACACGTATTTGTAATTATAAAAAAAAAAAAATACAATAATTTTTCCAAAACAAATCCAAAGTTGTAGTTATTTGTGATTTCGACATGTGTTAATAATTATATCATGTCAAATAATTAAAATATAAATTTCAAATAAAATGTTAATCAGGAAGCTTTAATTTGAAATTTTCCCAGAGTCCTGATTTTTTATTATTGATCACTTTGCAACATCAGTGCAAAACAAAGTGAAGTTAAAGGATTACCTTTCTGTTGAAAAAGCTGTAACATATTCACGGCTGTAGGGGAGTGGGCAGCAGGTTTGAGGAAAAGCCTGCTGGTCATTTAAAGGTTGGTTTACATTTAAGATCCAGAGAGGCTTAGCGCAGAGAAAAAAAAAACACTGCAGGTGGACATAATGCTGTGTCAGGTGTTTGGGCTCGAGCCAGCTGTTCTCTTTACACTCCCCCTTCTCTCACTCTCATATGTTCTCTCTCTTTTCTGCTGTGTGTGTGTGTGTGTGTGTGTGTGTATGTATGTGTGTGTGTGTGTGTGCCCACCTGAATGTATGTGCTCATGCAACCTGCAGAGAGCACACACGTCTTATTACCCCAGAGGCTATTGCTCCCTATTAACCTTACCCTCCCTACCCAGAGTTCTGCACTGCCTCATAAACCTCGCACAGTAAGACTTTGAAAGATGGGTGATGCCAAAATATAGTACCCTTGTTGGACTTTGACCCCTAACTACTGACATGGAACCAATCCAAGAAGCTTTTTAGCCCACTGTTAGTGTATATGGAAGGATTTCTGCCAGACTTTTACTTACAATGTATAGAGTGCCAGACTTAAAACAGACAATACTTTTCTGGTTCTAGAGACAAATTGAACTTATCTTATCACTTATAAAAGGATTTGGCATCAGAGGAAAATTAAATGTTATTAAAATGTCAGAATTTGCCCTTTAAGTAGGCCCACGCTGTTGCAGTATCTACTGTAATTACTCAGTACCTGATTGTCTGCTGCATCTGTAGTCGGTCTGGATCTGAGGCTGAGAAGGTTGTCAGGCTGGTGCCAGCAGGGACGCCCTCCTCAAAGCGGATGTTTTTCGGATTTGTTGGAAAGTAAGGGGGCTCATTGACATCCTGGACAGATATGGTGACCCCGGCTGTGGATTGGAGCGAGGACTGGATGCCACTAGCTAAGTGGGCCTGGTTGGACACCACTACAGTCAGCATGAAGGCCCGGTTCATCTCAAAGTCTACTGGCTGCAGGGATGAAGGACGCAAACAACAGAGTGTGAGAACAGAGAGTCTGTTATCTCTATTGGAGAAAAAAACAGTCAAATATAGTTTGATGATCATGAAATCCAGCATGCAGATCAAAATTATGCACGAAACCCTTCACTGTTAAACTTACACATTATATTAAGTACACTTGTTCATTTCTGTTATGATTCTAAATGGTCAATTTCCCATATTTTATAGCAAAAATATGAACTCAAAGGCAACACCATCCTCAGAAGAACGACCTGTGTAAAAGCCCAAACCAAACCCAAACCCAAACCGATCAACTACGTTTGTGTCGTACACATCAACAGGTAGCAGGTGAAGAACACTGAAAAATAAAGCCTTTTCTCATCCTGTATGGTCAGTGATTATTACTGCTGTCAGTGGCATTATTATCATTATTGCTTTTTATGAGCAAACCATGTCAAGTGTTCAAGCACAGGGGCTGTTCTATAAATATTAGGCTCATTAAAGTGTTACAACCCCTGTCAACATTTCTCTTTCAGCCTGGGGAGTATGCGCTGAACCCTGTTGATGATAAAGGACACAGTAAATGAACAGATGCCGTGTCAAGTGGTCCCCTGATGAATGGGACCCATATTCTCTCTAAACAACTCACCAACACACATAAACACATACACACTGACATGTACAGAAGGGCTTAGTAGGGGCTGTCATGGTGCTGTCTTTTGAGGGAGTGTGTGTTTGTGTGTGTATGTGTGTGACTGTACAGGGGTTTTGCCGGCTGAGCCTAAACCAGAGTGACAGTTGTGTGCTCTCCTAATGAAGACTACAGGATCAGGTTCAAACGACAACAACAACAAGCAAGGAAATAAAGAAGAGAACAAATACGCTGCTTGCAGGTACTGCTGCCACATTTCTCAGTGGGTTGATGATGAGCACCGTCACAAGTCTTGTGTCCGTGTCGTTTGACGGTGACATAAATGACTTTGAGCACCTCAGTATATTGCGTTTGCCGAGTGTTCTGAGCGGCCAGTTTCCCAGTACAGGTCTGATGTTGAAGAAAGAGAAAATACGTTTTAATCAGGGAGCTTTGTTGACAAGGGCAGTGGAGCGGATTTGTTTCTCGTGTACTTAGATGTTAGAAAATGTAAGCACATGGATGTGTATTCGTGTGTGACCCCATGGTGCACTGGGAACAAATTTACAGGCAAACCACGCTCAAGGCCCTTTGATCTACAGCCAGTGGTATTCTGAGCACAGGGAGGTCTAGAGTATAGCTGTAGGCTAACTAAAACACATATACACACTCAGACACACACACACACCCTGAGGGGAGCTAGAGGGGTGAGAGGTCAATAACACGGCTTCCATCTTTTGCCCATGAGCCATCCTATCTTACATCTCCCCTGCATAACTTCACTCGTTTCTCTTTTCCTTTTACTTAATTTGTTCCGCTGGTCTCAAACTCCAACCCCAAGCCTCACTCACTGAGATCTGTGTTCTCTGGAGTTTACAGCTCTCAATCCATGAAAATCTGTCTCCCCCCTCACTTCTCCCCTCCTCTCTTCCTCCCTTGTCATCTCCTGTGTTTATCATAAGCTGTGATTTACATATCTTAATGACTCATTGGAACCAAGTGGCTCTGTTCGTGGGTTTAATGCATGCTTGTTTGTCAACAAGGTTTATAACAGTGCTGCTTAATGAGAATGCATCTCAAAAACTCTCTGGAGAGTGGTGTAAATGTGTGACATGTTCTGGTTAGGACCCTAGCTCTTGTTTACAGGAGAGCCCAGGACCCTCTTGGGAGACTGCAGCATACCTGGGAGTCAAATTTGATTCGAGACACAACGGTAGAAATAGGAAGCCCCGCTTTATCGGCCTTCTTATGGCTACTTGACTTCACCTTTGGCAGGTTTTCTGATGCAACCATTCCACCTCCCTTTTCTCCAGAGCGAGCAGAAGCCCCTCTGTTTACTTGTCGAGACGGTCTATTTTTTTTCCCCAGAGGGTGTCCTGTCTCTCATTTATGATTTCCTGATAACCTCCCATGGGGCTCCATTGAAGCTTAAGGCTACCCGGCTGCCTGCTGAATTTTACATCAGGGAAGAGGAGGAATGGATTATAAAAGGCAGTCATCTAGAGATAATGAAGAGAAGCAAAATGCCAATGCTCATTGCTCAGGGTGCTGTGGGAATTACATCGAGATGTTATTGCTACTTTTTAAACATTATTGTAGGACATGAAGTGTGGTTTGCGAGAGGCAGATACATGAGCAGAGCACCCCTGGGTCTTCAGGGTCACGCAAATAAACAAGGTTTTTCCATAAAACACATGCAATATGATATGCACATTTATAGTGAGCCACTCGGGTGTGAAAACAGAAATCAAAATTCCAAAGGCCATCCAACAGGACACACATCCACATGTTACACACACAGACACAGTATAAGCTGAATTTCATACAGATTAGTTGTCCATGTTCCTGATTTTTCACTTAAAACCCTCCACACAGACTCCATCTGAGGTTGAACACTAAAATAGTAGGTTGTTACAAGACACGGCTTTGTTGTTACTGCCATTTACCGCAGCAGCCAGAACATTATGAGTGAATAAAAACCGTTGCCTTTGTAATTGAGAAATCAATACCTAATTTGCTACAGTGGTCTAGCCAGCCATTGTGTTTAAGTCTGTGTGTGAGTGTTTGAGCTGCTCTCGAAGGGCGCAGTGGCCTCCAATCCCTCATTTGGACATAAAGGGGCATCTGAAAGGCAAAGACCCCAGCATGTCCCCATTTAACTATGTAGTCTATTATTATTGCATGTGCTGAAGTCCAGAGGGCATGTGACAGACAGTACAGAAAAATAAACGACACTGTGTCTTCAACACTGACCTCTATAGGGCGAACATACAGAACATGTTTTATTAGGCTGAAGTCTTACCTTCACCACGGTGACCATGCCATCATTGCTGACCGGGTCGGTGCGAATGGTGAAGTGACCAGTTGGGTCTCCGCTGAGGATCCTGTAGATGGCGTTCCAGTTTGGTGAGTGCGGTTGGTCGGCATCTATCACCGTCAGATTAGCTACCACAACGTCTACACGGTTCTCTGGGACCTCACCGGAAAACTGCAAGGAGTAGAGTCATATGTCAGCTTGGGACTCTTTCTTTCAAATATTAATTCTTCAAATGTAGATGAGGTCTTTAAGGAACTCATCAAGGACAGCAAACATAACATGTGGCAATTTCTGCAAATGGCCCCCTTGCTCCTGTCATTCTTTATTCTTTTTTCTTATGGAGCAAGTCCTCCTTTTAGGTTTTCAGGTAGAGTAGGTTTAATAATCTCCTATTAAGCACAGCTGAGTAGTAAACAAGCAGTAAACACAGATGCACACGAGCAAGCACATGCACACAAGAGCACTGTTCCAGTTTTTATCTTGTCTGCCTTTTCGGGATACCCATCCTTGATGAGTGATGATATTTCATTCTCTTGAAAAGAGAAAAAAAGAGTGAAAAAGGAGGAGAGAATGGATGCAGAACAAGAGGCTCGCATCTGGGAGGGTTAAAAAAGCAGTTTGAGTGTATATGAGTGGCTTTTACTTGTCCCCCCTGCTGTACAAACACATGTGCTTTGTCCTGATAAGCCTGATGAGGAGTGAGCCGCTGTCTGTCATGTGTCTGTTGTGGTGGGGATTGATCAAAGCTGTGCAGGCTCAGGGGATAAAGTCTACAAAGACAAACCCACAACAGCTAGGACTTTGCTGCTTCCCTCTTAAACATAAGTCCACTGCAGCCCTACCTACGCACACAACCCGCCGACACCAACCACGTGGGGTCTGACAGCGAGCGCGTCGGCGTGTCTTCATCTCATCTGGAGTCAACAGGCATGTAGCATCATACAGTCACCGTGTCACCATGGGTAACAGGCGTGCAAGAGCCACTGAGCTGCTTATATGAGTGTAGGATATCAAAGAGCAAAGCCCCAGACCAAACACTCCAACAGACCATAATACCCTGCCTGGCAACCCTCGCATCACCCTGCAAACAGCCGACAGCAGTGGGCAGATTAGGAGGCTGCGTCAGGAGAGCTGTTCAGAGACTCAATGACATTCTTAAGACAACAGACAAGTCCGGGTGGTCCTGATGCACTGCTTGCATTGGATAAGTAGGCAGGCTGTCGTATGTTTGTGTCAGATCGAGTGTGTATGTGCTTGAGCGGTTTATTACTGTGTTTTGGTTCAAGGACTCCCCAATGCCAATTCAATAAAATAAAATTTCCGAGATGGTTCTTGAGCTCCAAAGGGCCCTCAAGCGTCTTCTTCCCCAGCAAAGAGTAACAACTGAGGGCAAGAGTTAACCAGATCTGATGGAAGGCTTTGAAGGATCCACTAAAGCTCATATTATCAATACAACAGTTGAAGATTTCTTCTCTCATTATCTTTTTATGGGCTGGGGGAGTTGCAGGGGCTACATCAAGCATCCGCAGCTCTAGCAATCAACATTTATTCTTCTGATGCACAATCTTACATGGCATGGCTGTTTTTAAATTCCCTGCACATGAAACTCTTCATCGTCAGTTCAATCACTTACAAAAATACGTTTCAGACAGTTTACTCTAAAAACGGCGAAAGGCTGTGTTAATAGCAACTATTGGGGATTCAGAAACTTTGCAGTAAGCAAATTTCATTGACTGAAAAGAAGTCTGTCGTCTACGATTTGGCCTGCAATGTTGAGCTTGAAACTGAAGTATTGAAATTCATTAATCATATCAAAAGAATGCAAACAAGTTTATTTTATGCAGATGTAGAGAATAATTTCAAGTACATAACAGCATTTACACATTATATTAAGATTCCATTAAAGTTCAATAACAAACAAATAAATAAAAAGTTTTACAACAATAAAAGATTAAACATAAAAGCAGCCAGGCTTTTCGACTCTGCACACTATACACTTCATGTAAACCTTTGTTTTACCTTTTTAAGACTCCAGATGTTATTTGTATGACAGTGAGCCTGACTGTTTTCATCTTTGTCATCAATAATGGATTGGGATTCAACATTTGTTGTCTATTCGGAAAATCTTCCTGTTTTCTTTTCCTTCCACTCATTTATTGAAATATCCATTGGATACTGTGTTGAATCTGGGTCTTTTTATCATAGATTTTATTACTGTACTGTAGAGAGGTTTGGTTCGACACTGTAAATAGAGGTGTCTTCCAGGAGAGGCTCAGATTCCCCCTGATTTGTTAATGACACTAGATTTTGTCCCAAACTGCTGGACTTGGAAAGTATGCACAAGGGTGGGGGTTCTTGATTGTGATTGGCACAGACTGAAGTTGGCTTTCAAACAGCACTTGACAAAGCAGCACTTGCCCAAAACTTCATCCTTCTGTCACTATTTTGGCAGTGAGGAAAGACTAAAGAAGGCAAGGTAAGTGGAAGAGAGGAGAAGTGACAGGGGACTTCATCATAGTAATGTTGTGAGGATGCTAGAGAAAGGGGGCAAAAGGAGGACTGCAGTAAATTCCCAGATAGCAGGATTGTAATCCACAAATGGTTAAAAAAAAAACTCTTGGTATTGTGTATGCATACAAATTAATACAAACCTTTTTCATTTCATCGTATCTATCTGCATCACAGAAATAATGCAAAGCATGTGTGCAGCCCTGAATAAGCACCCGAGCCTTCACATCTGTACACATACACCACCCTTTGCCGCCTTGAAAAATAGGGCAGCCTCTGATAGGCGTGATGAAATATTAATCATCCAACATTAAAGACAAATTCCCCAAACTTTATATTTCTGGGACACACTGAAAGATCTATGGGGTTTATTTCAAACACTAAATATTTGCATAACGGCCTGTATTCTCAACAAAATGGCTTTTATGTTATTCCACCGCTAAAGTGGTTGATTTATGAAGGAGGTGGGTAAAAGTGCTCCGCTCATCTCGGCTCTGAAACCTCCAATAAAGTTCATCATCAATATCCGTGATAATATTAACTTCCCACTGTGGCGATGATGGAAATGCACTTAAACATGTTGGAATACAGTCAGAAACTATTAATCTATTACTGGACAGTATCATCAATACACCACCATCAGCGGAGAATCTTGGATCAGAAGGGAACACAAAGTCTGGAAACTAAACGGCTGCAGTAGAAAATACCTCCTGTGACCCAATCATCTGTCATTCTTCCTTGTATCACAGGTTCTTCTCTCAACACCTTTTCCCCTCTCCATTTTTGTTCTTGGACTTTTCAAGGTGGTCCAATCATCACCCCCCCCCCCCCCCCCATTTCACTCCTTTGTTCTCTTTTTGCTCAGCATCTCCTTTATGTGTATTTTTTTCTTCTTCCTCTGCCCTCTCTTTGTACATTTCCTGCTGTGTGTGATGTCGCAGCTCTCTGATGAGCTCTATGGCTGACACATGCTTACCGCCAGCGCTAACTCATCATCATAGAGTCTTAATAGCCCCCAGGGCAAATGCTAATGCTAACCCCTCTGCTGCTACCTCAAAGAGCAGAGCCTTTACTGTACTGCTGATTCTGCCTCAGCTGTTACAGCCTGCAGCTGCAGAGCTAAGCACCTTATCTACCCAACAGGCCTGTGCGTTCATCACTACTGATAGAAGAGCACACACACTGAATTATTCTGACAGCTGAAGGCAAACTGACTTTTTCATCATAACATGGAATTAGAATGCAGGCACACTCACTCCACTTCTGACCAATCTTTACTCGTCTAAACAAATGCATGTCTCTGCCTCACATCAAATAAAATGTGTGGATCCTGAAAATTTCATTTGAAATCATGCAAATAATAGCTTGATTTTTTTCCCCTACTTCCCAGCTGTCAGTGGGAAATAATGCTTCCAGCTCAGCTTTCCATACACAAATCAGAACATTTAGAAGCACGGAGAGAAAGCTGCTTTCATGTTATTCAACCGCTCGTTTTTTTACAACACTGAATCTCCTTCTCCTTATAAGTTTAGGGATTATGTTTTCAGGATTGCACCACATGCACATAACACACAGCTCATTACTTCACAGTTTTAATTTGAACCTGCTCTCCAGAATGACCTTCTCTAATGTAATCATCATTCTAAATATCACTATCATGACAACAATCATTAACAATTTGCTGGCTCTGGTTTTCTTGCTGATGAAAGTCGATGATATGGATTAGTTCTTTCCTTGTGTGTGTGCATGTCTGTGTGTGTGTGTGTGTGGGGGGGGGTTTGTTTGTGTGTGAATCCTCTACAAGGAAATATGTAATTACCCCTTGCACTTCATAACCCTCCCTCACTGTCCTTGTTTAAATCTTTGTTGCAGTCATTTCCTTTATTTTTTCCGTGGTCAATCCCTCCCTCTGTTTTCTTCCTCCATCCCTCTCTTTTTCACTATCTGCCTCTCTCTAGGCAGCGCCGTTCTTTCCCCTCTTCAACAAACTCATCATTTCCACCCCCATCTCTGAACCCAGCCCCCTCTCCTCTGCTGAATCGTTATCCTTTCCCCACTGCCCTATTTGAAGCGACTCACAGTTCTGGAGGTCAGCATGGGAGGGTTGTCGTTGATGTCCGAGACAGTAATGATGGCAGTGGCGGTGTTGGAAAGGCCAAAGTTCAGGTTGCCCTCCATATCCGTGGCCTGCACGATGATGGTATACTGGGACACTTTCTGTAAAAGGCAGGAATAGGAGAGAAAACAGAGTGTGTGGTTATTCATCTGAAAAAAGCTTTCTGTTTCTTGAGTCTACAGCAACAGCTACAGACTGTGACTCCCAGGGGAACAAAAAAAAAGGAAAGCTTAGACTGTGTTGTATTCTATAGTAGCAGTCCACACTCTTATTTGAAACACAGATCCACAAGGGTGAAATCTTTCATTTGACTGAGTTGAAAACTCTGCAGTGGAACGTATCCAGACTTTACACCATCTGACGGCTGCACTGTGAAGCCTCCCCACGGGTATGTCTTCAAAGATATTGCCTATTCAGTGCCACTGATGGACAGATGTGAAGACAATGATCCAACTGACAGAGATTAATAGACTGTCTATGAAGCTGTAATAGAGGGAATGATAAATGCAATTTTATCTTTTGAAATGACACTGTGTCACTTTGCTGGGAGCTGAAATATAGTTCTCTTATTTTTATTTTTGTACTTGAGCGCATTTGTGTGCGTCTTCCCGTGCAGCTTCATTCTTCTCTCCACACAACTCTCTTCAGCTGCCTCCTCTACCTCCTCTGTCTCCTCTACAGTCTCGGGGTGCAGTTAATGGGCCGTAGGAGGGATGGAGCCCAGGAGCCGGCTGTCTGGATAATGTGTCTCGTCACTGAGATTCCCAATTACATTCCCAGTGTCTCTCTCACCTGCTAATTACCGGGTAAATATCCCAATTAGGCCAGGACGCCACATCAGGAGGATTAGACAGCTCCTCTCAGTTCCTCTCATCTTGATGCTCGAACTCCAACCTTGTGCACACACTCTCATTAACACCCATATGGACCCACAAACACAGATAGATACACACACACAAACACACATACACCTCTCTTTCTCCATATCTTGTTTAGAGGCAGTGCATGCCTGACTGTCCTGTCAGCCAGTGTACGGCGTGTACACAACACTCTCACTAATTAGACAAGGGAGTAATTATGTAGAGCTCCTCTGAACCTCGCTGCCGTGCAGCAACACCGGGGCATACCCGGCTTCCTCTAAAGGACTGAGGTCTGCTGCTGTCAACAAGCTCTCAGAAGTCCACTGCAGACCATGTGAAAACCTTTAGAAAAGATCAGTGTAGGAGTTTATAAAAGGAGAGGAAGAAGACATTTCAAACGTAAAGAACAAAGGAAAGGATAAGAGACAGCAGGAGATGCAGCTTAAGCGCAAGGGAGGAGTACAACCAGAAATAGAAGCTTCTGTGTTTTTTTTCTTTACAGAGCCTAACACCTCCTCTAGCCCAGTCCAAGAAGAGACAGGAGATGCTCAAAGTTTTAAAGGGCCAAAGTGCTGACTAAAAATGGACCAGGGAAGCACAGCAGCATGCTGTAAAGCATCTTTCTGTGAAGTCGATGTACAGTACATAAGCTCCCTTCTTTTCTGCAGGGTTTCAGACTTCTTATCAGCTTTCTGCAGGACAATAGAAACATGTGTTTGTATCTAGTAGAATCAGTGTGTAAGCCTGCACTCATTCATAACATTTGTTTTTATAAAAGTATGTGTGAGGCCTCAAATTGTAGAAAAATGAATGTGTTTGCATTTATAACTGTACTTATACAGTATATGTTTGTGCACTCTTGCACATCCGGAAAAAAAATCCTTAGCAAAGACATTTATTTATGTTTTAAATTTGAATGCAGAATTGATTGCAGATTTATAGATCAGTGGAATCAGTGGCTAATGGATCAGTGGAATTAAGTTAAAGCACTGGCTAAGTGTTTATTGTATCCACTAAATGCCCTTCCAAATATTTCCCTGAGTGTACTTAAGAGAGTATCAAGGGGAGCCAACTCATATACAGAAGCTACAAAGTGAAACTAGAGGTCAAAACTCTCCAGCGAACCTTAAGCAAACAGTTGCTTATTTACACATCCGGCATCTATGAGGTCACAGAGTTGTGTTTCTGTCGACCTGGTGAATGTAGGCCCAATATTATATCTTTCACCTCTGCTTTTGGTTGCTATGAACACCTGAGGGAAATATGTTGTTCATAAGCTGCTAACAGCTTCATCCTGTTAACAAGCTAATTTCTAACTGTGTCTTTTGTTTGGCGCTGAGTTGGTCTTAACAGCTTTTTTTCCTTCCTCTTTTTGCTGAAAGTGACACAATGAGAGTGGTGAGCGAACCAAAAATGCAAAATTGCTGCATGCTAAACAATGGGCTGAAACTTTCTATAAAGCTATACAGAATTGTTCACAGTTAATCTGAGCAGGGTGCTTCTGATCTCACAGTGAAGCTACCCTTAACAAATTGGGGTCATTAAAAAATCATTCACCTTTGCAGGTGAAGCAGAACAAAAATGCTTGTGTGTGTGTGTGTGTGTGTGTGTGTGTGTGTTTGTGTGTTAGTGTGCAAGTGGGGGTAGGGGTTAAATCCTACATTACAGGTGGATTAGCATAGGCAGAAGAAAACAGTAAAAATAAGCAGCTGGGGTTGAGCTGAGACATTTTTATTCAATGTTACCCTCATACCTCTCTCTCCATTTGGCACCATGATTTCTCATCCTGCGTCTCTTTCTTCATCACCCTATCTTCAGTACAAAATTCACCCTGACTTCCTCCCAATTCATCGTAATACTCCGTCTGCCCAGCTCTGTTTTTGTTCTATCGCTCCCTTTCCTCCCCTCAATTGCCTATGTTTTATCGAGTGTAGATGTGATAATATGGGCTTTTGTGTTTGTCTGACAGGTGTCAAGGGCATTCTATCTTAGACATTTCCCCTCTTTCTTTACCGCACAAACACACACACACACACACACAGACACAAACACACTCATGCTCACACCCAGCCCACTGCAGCGTGATGTGTTGTTAATAGGTCTGTCACATGTGACAGTCTGGGAGGATAATCTGTCTCCAAGATTTCTTTGCAGAGTTGTCACTGGCTCATGTCGTGAGAATAAACACATTTGGATCTTGTCACAACTTTTATGGCTCCATAAACAAGGTGACCGCTGAAGAAGGCAATTTACTGTAAAAAAAAAAAATGAGTTGATGTGTGTGTGTAGTGACAAATGGCTAGAAAACATTTGTAAGGCGCATATCGGAGTGTCATCAGAGCAAACAGTGCAGTTAGGAAGTGTGCTCCATAAACAGAGATAAAGGTGAATCACCAGGCCAGCTATTCAGACTGTGTGGACACTCATTACTGGCTAAAATCATTCATAATCATTAGTTGTGTTGATTTTGTTTTGCTTCATTTAATTTCTGCTAAATATCAAAAGCCTCCTGTGTATGATTTGGACGAGAGAAGACCTACCTCTCGATCAAGCCCAGGTGCCACAGTCACGATATCTCCGGTCTCACTGTTGATGGTGAACATGTTGGGGATGGGGCTGTGCGGTGTCTGAGACAGGATTCGATAGCGCACCATTCCGTTAGCTGTGGTGTTGTCATCGGCATCAAATGCAGCGAGATGCATCACATAAGTTCCTACAGAAGAAAAGATTTATCCACATACAGATCCATAAAGCCAAGCAGGTTGTTACAGAAAAAACAAGTAAGTTAGTTACAGACTGGGTTCTGGGAAATTTGATGAGCCTGAAAAACACACCTTTATCACTTCAACACACCTATTTCTATTTCAGCCTGGGTCAGTTTAACCCATAGACTGTAAATATTAACAGACAAAGCCTGAGTGATGTCACCCATCTGTTACTGCAGGGGGCTTCAGAGGCTCATCGGAAGCTGCCCCAATACCGGAAATCCTGTCTCAGCCTAACTTTCAGTTATCTTAACGACAGAGCTGGAGCTGAGGCAGGTTTCAAGCCTCCTAACAAACTGTTCCATCACGACCGCCCTTTAATCAAGTCAGACATACACCTAACTATGGATAACACGGGGCGTTTGTATAATCTAAAAAGTTGCATTATCAATTTTTTTTATATAACATTGCATACAAATAAGCTAATAAACCACCTAGCTGTTGGATAACCCTTGCATACGTTCATCATAAATTGTTGGACACCTGGTGGGTAGATCATTTTCATTCAGACTATAATCACAAGTAGGCGCAGACATGTTGGAGAGACTACACCACCATCCATCCATGAATGCACCACTTGTTTGCTGCCTCCACACACTCATAACTCTGTGGGATCACTGCCTGTCACCCAATCTCTCCATCTCTCCCTCTCGCTGTACCTCTCTCGCAGCCGACTCTAATTGCCAGAGATAGTGATATCATGCCAGTGACAGCCCCTGTCCGAGGATAATTGTAACCGCAGCTCCCATTTCAAACTTCATTACATTTCAAAGCAACATTTGTCAATGACTCGGCCAGAGGGAGCACTCTAAAGGCCTCTCAGCGAGACGAGAGAAAAAGCCGGCAGGAACAGAGACAGGGAGAGGAAAAGAGGAATAGAGGACAGACTCCATATTTGGTTTGATTCCAAGCAGGGAGACTATCAGTCCTCCACACATCACATTTTTTTCCGGAGATGGACGGATAGAAAGAGATGAAGAATCCCAATGTGTCACATCGCTGGGGTAATTTCATTAAGCTGCACTCTTCGGGGGTTTAATGTGGACCCTTTGTACGGGCGTCCTAAGCTGTGCCTGACAGGATTAGGTCCCCGTAATGACTCTTTAATTTGCAAACTAATTCAAGTCTGTAATTGGCCTTCTATTGAATCCACTGGAGCTTTAAATTCTAAAACACGCTTTTTAAAATATTATTGTTCAGCTGAATGTCACGCATGCCACGGGGACTGTTGCGTGGGGCAAGGCATGGGACGGGAATATTAGAGAAAGAGTGACAGAATAGTTGTATTCAGACTGCCATCTTCGAAGCACGATCTTTATGTCCCTGAGTTGTTTCGCCTTCAATTTGAATGTCGCGGAGGCGTGATGGGGGGGATGAAGTGATCCCTTCTCTGTTCCGTCATTGGAGGTAGTAACAGAGGCGTAACGGAGGCGAGACAAGGTCAGCTGACCCAGCGGGGAAGCATCAGCGCTGTCTATTTGTGCATGTCTGACTGTGTGTGTATGTGGAGCTCCTGCTGTGCCGAAATGCAAGGTGAATTCACAGACTGGGACAAGAATATAACGCCATCGGGGAATCAATATGAATGTGCAAAGGCGTAATGACGGGAGAGGGTTAAAGAAAGAAAGAAGGAAAGAAAGAAGAAAAGAAGAAAAGAAGAAAAAAGAAAGAAAGGGAGAGGAAATGAGCACCTGGACAACTGTGGAGATCTCCTCTGGAACAATAAAATCAGGCTCATCAGGCACACGGTTGCATGCACACACGCATTCAGAGAGCTCATCTCTGTGATTCTTCCTCTCTCAGGTCAGACATAAAAATGACCCAGTGGTCCAACAGCGTGTACATTTAATCCTCAATCTCCTCTTCAGCCTGAGCACCCTCTTTGGTTTATGGTCACTGCTACAGCCGGCTAAATGAAGAGCCACTGTGGGAGACGGATTCTCCCTCAGTCTGCTAAATCAAGGGGGGAATGGAAAATTCTTTCTACCGTCAAGATTCACTGGTGTGGTCGTATTTTTAAATGACTCCAATCTCTGTGGGTATACTTGTCGATCTGCTTTCATCTACCCATATCCAAACCCCTCACACGTTCAAGTTTGTTTGATCCTTTTAAATAAATACTGTCGTCCAATGATCACTCCTGCTTCACAATTCACTGACTGTCCATCTCTGTGCAGTTTCATGCGTTATTACCTGGTTTAGAGCCTTCGTCCACAGAGCCGTTGTAGACCTGATTTTTGAACTCTGGTCTGTTGTCATTCATGTCGATGACAAAAATGTACAAGTCGATGGGGTTCTCAACCTGGTTTCCGTTCATGTCCACAGCATGGGCTCGCAACTGGGAAATACCAAAACACAAGAAATAGTTAGATTTGTAGGAAAGATTAAAAAAATAATATTAAATGGTAGGTATGTTGTGAGTCCTTGTGTTGGTTGTGATGGTTTTATGGAGAAAGTTATTATGTTAAACATTGTGTGCTTGATGGCTGAAAAATAAAATTTCTCCTGGAATTAATGTGTGTGTGTGTGTGTGTGTGTGTGTGTGTGTGTGTGTGTGTGTGTGTGTGTGTGTGTGGGGGGGGGGGGGGTATTCATTCATAACATCATGTCTTATTTCGTCTACTTTTTGACATTTTTAGTGTAACTGTTGACTGGGATGGAGGTGAAACTCAGACTTTTTAGGTCATAATTTTGTGTCCCTGATACTTTTGAACTTTTAGGCCTCACAGACTGGACAACTTAGTTCCTCAGATCAGATGTATGTGTTATGTACAAAAGACATCATCAAAGATTTGTTTTACTGGTGCAAGGTAACTTTATCAATCCAGTAAAGAACAATATAGTTAAAGCTTATCAAAGAACAGAAACTCACAGACAAGTACTGACTTCTGTTAGTTAAAGGGATTTCATTTTGATACTTTCGTCTTGTCTAGTTCAGTCCTTTGTGGGCTCATATGCTGTTATTTAGCTTTGCTTTCATTAATGTATTACTGGATCGATCTCATTTCAGCATCATTTTTAAAAACCAAACCCTTCTTTCTGTTCCACTTTGACTGTTAAGTTTGTCTATACTCTTAAGCATATCTAAATATCATTTCTCTTCATCACATCGAGTTCCCTCTGTTCCTAACTAAGAAAAGTGGACAGAAGAAAGGGAGAAACACATACATAAAACAACAACCAGCCGAAAGCAGAGATTTATTTTACCCTTCAAGGTAAATACTTCCACAGAAAAAATCCTCTGCACTGTTTTTTTGAATTTGGCATCCAACCCTGCTTATGAAAACATGAGGCTGATAAAATCTGCATTATTGAATATTAAAGTGCATAAGTTTCAAAAACTTTTCCTAAACCTTCACCACCATATTAAACAGGGTCAAGAGTGGAATAGAGGATATTTTTCTAGCAGAGTAACTGCCTTTCCGATCTTCAACTTTCTCCAGACTTCTTATCTTTTTTACTCTTAGTCCCAGAAGTTTTTATCACAGCGAAAAAACAAAAACAAAAACATCTTCTTTTATTGGAAGTTGGCTCTGTTGTAAAGGCACGGTGTCTGTTTAAGGATCACCGCGTTGGATCCCGGGCCAACATTCTGTCTGGTTTTATTTGACAGCGAGTCCTGGAATCTCTCCACTTCTCTCTGACTACACAAACACAGTCAGCCCATCTCAGATTCAACTCAGCAGAGCTCAGATCAATGGAATCAGCAACAAGGATTTCTCACAAAGTTCGGACATACTGTAAAATGAGTGCTGGCTGCTTTCTCTCATATGAAGGAGGAAAAAAAGTCAAATAAATGAATTATCAGGAAAAAGGCAGGCTTATATAAATGCTTGTATTTTTTTTTCTCTCTCCAGACGTGAAGGTCAAACTATCCAACTGAAGTGGCATTTCAAAATGAACTCCCCGCTTCTCTCTAAAGCTGTTTTGATTTGTTTCACCTTACCTGGGAATGTTTATATCCCAAAACATGACTTATTCAGTGATATTCCTGTCAGTGAGAAGCATCAAGGATGTGTAGTTCATTTCATACAAAGGGGGAAAAAACTGAATTCAGATGCTATCTACACCCTGCTCATAACACAGCCGAGTAAATATTTATTCCTCTAAAATGTCAGCAATCAATTTCAGGAAAAGGACCAGACATCTAGACTTATTTGATTCTTGGGTTATTCATCTAAAGGACAGCTGAGGGAAGAAAGAAGGAAAAATGAAACCGTGTCAGGAACAGATAGAGAAGAAGGATTTTAAATTTGCAACATGAGCATTTTATTTTATTTTATGAACATCATGTGTGAAGAACAGGTAATGTTCATGCTTTCATCTGAGCATGCCTGATGGAAGGAAATGCTACCTGGCCACTGCAGGAGCATGAGAGCAAGATAAGTGAAATAGCCTCCAGGCTTGATGCGGCAGGAAATAGAATAAGCAACGTTCTCCATCTGCTTCTTCCCCTCAGAGAGGTGAAGATACACTCCACTGCAGACCCATCCTCTCCTCTATACACGTCTGCTTCCACTCCGCACCTCCACCAAAATTGTGCCTCCAGGTCCTCCCAGAGGTTAATTTGACTTTACTTTTCCACTGCATTGTCTGATCCATCCTGCACCCAATATCCTCGCTGCTGCCATCGCGCATCCCATCTCCCTGTGCTGGAGCTGGCAAGGAGCCAGGCCCCCTTATCTCCACCCACCCTCATCCCTCCATCCCTTATGCACCCACACCTTAATTCAATAACAGAAGGAGTCAGGAGATTACCGCCATGTTTAAAGAAAGCGTAATGTAGTTCTGAGTCCACATTAAAGTTATTATCTTGGAAGGCAAGGGGAGAAAAAAGACCGTACCAGCCAGCGCTCAGTATTTGGCAAAGATGCACCATCCTGATAAAGAAAACAGCCAAAAGAATGTCCAAGGCTTCTTTCCTCATAAGAGCGCATCTTCAGTTTGCCTCTTCTTTTGAAATAAAAACTAGCAGACTTTCTTCTGCTCTTGCATGAAACATGAAGTAGACAAAAGCAAGAGGACAGAGTCAACTCAGATCTGATGTGTCGACTCTCTCCAGGAGTATGTTGCTCTGTGTAAACCAAACCATCCTTAAAGTTCTAGGATTGCGGATGTTTTCTTTACCCACCTCACAGCACACTTTAATTGGCTTCCTGTTGCTCTAACAGAATGTTCTGTGAAAGGCCTTTAATTGAACTCCAACACCTTTCCTCATCTGTTTACTCGTACATCTATCCCTCGTCCCCTCTGGTTTCTCCCTGCACTTTGTATTCCGCACTAACTAACACTTTGCCTCCACAACAAACACAGTTTAACTTGAACAGCCCTCTTAACAAATCACCTCATTGATTGGATTTTTCTCCTGGGTATAAATCTGCTCTGCTTGCACTAAGAGGAACGGTAAGTCAGACTAGACCCCAACATAAATACAAGGAAAGCGGCAGGTACAGAGACAGAAAAAAAAAACAGATACACAAACTTGAAGTGATGAAGCCAGTGCTGATGCTGCTCACTATATCAAAGCATTGGGGCTCTATATTTTGAAAGCAGAATAAATGTAAAACAAGTTAATTCTTTCTTTAACTCTAAAGTACCTTGCTAGGTGAATACAAATCTCCCTCTCTTGACTAGTATGTAGAGCACAAAAGTGAGAGGAGATTAAGTATTTTTCATTTATACCCTCACAGGATGAACCAAAGACGGCCCTGTGTAACACACTGGATTGAGAGCATTCTGCATAATGTCAGTTGACTTTCTGAAGGACACATTGACAGCATAGTGAAAGGAATGTTTCTGGGTATTAGGCTTATTTTGCTTTTAATCTGAGTATCATATAAAAGATTGATGTACATCTTTTCATAAAGATTAGCAACTAGCCTGGCTCTGTCAAAGGTTTTAAAACATGCGCCTTTAAATTTTAGGTGAGATAAGGGGAATCAATTGCTAAGTGAGTTTTAGGCTAAGTTTAGCGGATAGCAGCTCAGAAGCTTAAAAGTGTAGAATACTATGGATCTTCTCATCATACAAAGAAGATCCATAAGGGCAAAAAACTGGAAATAAGCATGATGTTGATTTGTTCCTTCGACACACATACACATATAAAATGTTTTTTTTTCTTAATCTAGCTCTCAGAAAGAAGACAAATAAAAGTACATCCCAAAATGTCTGCACATTCACATCTGGCCAGCCATCTAGGTTTTTCTTTTGCTCCTAAGCCATTTCTTCTTTACAAACAGTGAGTCTTTTAGTCAAGTGCAACTGTGACAGGCACTGCAGTGTGAAAGCCAATGCAAAAGCACTGTGACTGTCTGAGAGCTGAATGATTCATTATCACATTCTCTGACGAAGGTGTCAACAGATGCTTTGCACATACAACATCTCCACACCTGCAGAATGTGAGTGAACGAACACTTCACAGAGCTATGAATGTAATGGATCCACACACAGCTCTACAAGGAAAATGTGTTTTTTTTAATGTCCATGTTACAGTGTGTTCATGCCTGACCTAATGTAGTTTAATCAATCATGTTTAAAAGGTACATTACGAGCTAATGTATGATGAAATAACAAACTACATCTTCACCAGTTGTCTGTTATGTGGTGCATGTTTTCAATCATTAAAAAAAGATTTGAGAACTTTATGAGCTCATCTTTTTGATCAATTCAGCACAAATATAAATAAACTAATTGAAAGAGGGAAAATGAAAGATGAGTTATCTTATCATGAATATGTGAAATAACAGAAGAAGATGATATAAAGGCAAACACGTGACAAAGAAAGAAAGAGAGAAAGGACTGGGATGTACATCTTAGTTTGTTAGCTTGATGCTAACACATAGAGGAAATTGCCAATAATGGGGGAACAAAATTAGCATTGGGATTGCAGGAATTTAAACTAGAAACAATCTATTTCACTTTGATGTTAAGTAGCCCTCTCCCTACAATCATTAATTAATCAAATAGATCATTTCTTAAGAGTATAAATGCTACCTAGCATCTCTACACTACAGTGTGTAGTGTCACTGTTCAAAAGTCGCTGGCATGGTGCTGGATAAATTAACCCAAATGAGCAGCAAATTAAGGGGGCATGCCATGACAGCTGTCACTCATTAAAACAATGGAAGTGATTGGAAGATGATGATGCAATGCTTAGGCTGTAAAATATACCCATTTACAGAAACTGCATGCTTTTCTTTGGTACTATTAGGTTCAGTTGCTACTGAATTTAGGTTTCACAAATATTAGCCTACTATAAGCTTGTGACATAAAGTTACATCTTTATGTTACAAGCCCCTTTTTTGTTTATAGAGATATATTACACATGTTACAGTGACTTAGGTGTCATTAGGGTTAACTGGCTGTATATTAAGGTGTTTGGTTTTTGTTTTCAAAGGTCAAAACTCTTCTGTGTGTCCTTGTGTGTGCATGACAGTGAGAGAGAGAGAGAAACACACTCACATGGTAAGAGGAGCGATGTTCTCGATCCAGAGGTTTGGTGACAAACATCTTTCCAACTACCGGGTCGATGTTGAACACCTCGTTAGGCGGCTGATCTGCTCCCACCCCAGTGATGCTGTATCGGATTGAGATGTCCTGGTCCTGATCTGAGCGGATCTGCATCAAACGAAACAAAGAAACACAGAGCACTCAGTCACACTGTGTATCGTAGCAACACTCAACTTTCTCTGTCTCTTCTCTTCTTTTACACATAATACATACACATAAACATAGGGTTACCAGGGGCAACCTGCAACTTTTGGTTTGTTTATTATTCAAGGAGCAGTGTTTTTGATGAACAGCCCTGGAGTTTCATAATTTTGTTCTTCCTAAATGTGGGAAAGGTGATATTGCATAGAATCGTTTGAAACCTGCACAGAATGAAACACACAGGCACTCACATATATACAGATTCATCGTTTCCATCAAGGTTGGCATTAGTAGCTTCTACATACTCAAGGATTCCATTAGCGTTGCTTCAGGGAGCATTCTGTTATACAGAATGGGACTGTCTCAAAAGAGAAAATTTAATTTAACATTTTAGGGGGGGGGAAAATGTAATCAACAGATACTTGCTGTTAAATTTGAGAGTCAGGTAGTGATTTATTACGATTTGCTGGGGCAGAGCTGGGACTACAGACGTGTTGTGAACTAAATTGACAATTAAAGGGGAAAGTAAAAAATATGAGCTTTCAGTTGTTGTGTAACAAGGGGAGCCGCAACAGGCAACACAACAATAAATGCACTCTGAGGTGGCAGAATTGGGCCTGAAGCAAAAAATGGACTCAAATTTAGGGGTTCATGCGAGAAGAGAATTATTTAATAACTGTAGGAGATGTGGAGCAGAATGTTCTTTAAGAAATAGGCTTGTATTTTGGTTCAGCCTTCCCTTCCAGATAGACAGCTAATAGGTGCATTAACTGCACTGCTGGGCCTGTGATTTGGGTAGAAGTGCTGTGTAATTGGGACTCATTTGGAGGAGTTTTTCAATTTAGTGCCCAAATAGAGTCCGAACCTTCGAGCATCCCATCCCTGTCCATTAACTGCACCACAACCCATGAACATCAGCCGGTGTATCAAAATGACTCAATCATGCACTTACTTTAGTATGCGGGAACATACTGTACTCAAATACACAACACACACACGCAGAGGAATGGCTGCATTTTCTAATAATCATTGACTATTTCAGGGAAAGAGTCTGAGTGCAGCAGAAGAGTAAGACTGTCCAAAGTTGTCTCCATCTTTCACCACTTGAGGAACCAATTTAGCCACACTCTTGACATACCAGGAATCCTGCCCTGCTGAGCAAAATAGCTGGAGCAACTAACAAGGACACGGGACGGACATACAGTATTGGACAGGTGTCATCCTGAGTCTATCTGCGAGTGGAATGAAAACCTGTCTCCATCCCTGACAATTCCATTATCACGTTTTTCCTTTTCTTTCTCTTCATCAACATTGCCATCCATTAACTCTATCAGAAAGACCCTTTTGGGATGAGTTTTCCAATCAAACAAATGTGAACAGGTATCGACACTGCAAGCTGTCACAACATCCCTCAAATGCTATTTTGTGTATGTCTGTATGTGTGTAGTCTTTGGGGAATAGTGGGGAGGAGAACGTCAGAATGCAGTGCACATTCCTCCATGAGTTACTCTTGACAGCTATGATAATTAACGCGCTGCAGGCATCGACTGCTATTACTTCAAAGAAACTCTTCCTGTTAAACACCAACAAACTAACAAATAACCAGCCAGCAACTCAGCTGAACTCTCAATGTAGCGCCATTACCCTCCTCTACAGACGGAGCGAAGAGGCTGCAGCGAGCCGACTTCATCTACCTCTCCTGTCGCATTAGAAAATACAAGCAATTATTACACATCCCACTGCCAAACTGTCTCCCCTGCTCATTCATCCCCCCCGTTTACTCCTCCCCTCTCCTTGTCTCCCCTTTCCTCTGCCCTCCCTTTTCCTCTCCAGCTCCGTCCCTCTCATTTCCGATACTCCCCTTTCCTCTCATCTGTACCCCCTCCCACCACACTCTCTCATCTTTCTCTCTCCCTCTCTCTTTCTTCGCTTCAGGTCTCTGCAGGGACAGAAGCCATGCGTGAAAAATGAAATTACTTCAATCCGTTGGCCTTGGCAGTGGCAAATAAATCCTCACCAGTTAGGAAGTGATAGCTCTCCATAATTCCATTTGGGTTTTCCCCGCCCCCCTGATTTCCCACCCGTTTCCAAGTTGTTCCTGCTTGGGGGGGAAAAGAGATTCAGCTGCATGTTTCCAGAGTCATTCCAGCCAATTAGCTCTCCCTCCCACAACGTTCACGTAAACCCTTTTTCAGAACTATTGAGGGAGGGCGCCAGAATCCTTTTCCTCATCTGCTTCTACTAAAAATATTTGTGCAGGGTTGTATGCACACTTATTTGATATGAGTGTGCATGATTGGGCTTCATGACTGATAGTAAAAGTACATACAGTAAATGGTGATACATTAAGGGATCCAATCATGGATTTCAAGGAATCAAATGAACTTGCTGCTCTGGATGTTATCAGTTTCCTCCTTTTATCTCAGAACAGTATGACAGGCTGCATGTCATTTTAAATGATAGCTCTCACTATCATTCTGCCATTTTAACTTCATAAAAAGATGCAATGTGTTTAAAAAATTCACACCATGAAGAGCTTCTCCTAACTGAACTGAACTGAAGTACTTTTTATGTCATTTAATGAAATGAGGGAAACACTCTCTTTCCTCCTCTTACACTGCAATCTTGCACCTCAAACAAAACCACACTGACACACGCACGCGCACACACACACACACACACACACACACACACACACACACACACATTTAATTTTCAAGAGCTCCAACGATAATCAAATACAGTTTTTTTGTTGTTTCTCTCTTTGTGTTATTTTCCCTTTCCTTATTATTTTCCCTCTTGAAAGTTAGTTTGCATGTGCATCCATAGGGGAGCAAGAGTGGACGAGGAACACTCGGCTAACAGAGATTGATAATGCAAGACTTGAAGAGAGAGAGAGAGAGGCAGAGAAAGAGAGTCATGACTGTATCATCCAGCATCAGAAACCAGACACTGTCTAAATGACCTATTTGTCGATGGATCAAAGCAATTCCCTTCATTACTGACAACTTGTCTGCTTCTTAAGGAGATCTTATCAGTGAGCTTAGCTCCCTTCTGCCAGGCAAAACTGAATCAAATGAGGAATTATCATGCTTCTGGGTCTTTGGGGAAACAGAGAAGAGGAGATGAAGAGAGGGGAATGAATAACACGAGGAACTGGGGTGCAGAGGAATTAATTCTCATTTAAAAATTCATGTTAGCTAAAACCTTAGATAAAACTACCCAATGACTACCATTTAGATGTGTCATTGTGCTGCAAGTTTGAGATATAAACCACTACATATTTCATTACTATGATGATATATAGTCCAATTGAATGTACCCAAATTGAAAGTATTGAATAGCTGAGCTATACCGAGTAACATTAGAGTGAGATATGTACGGGGATTTAAGCAGCGGTACAAAAGTAGAGCTGTTTAAACTGAGTTTCCAGAAATCCAAAAGCCTCCAGAGGGTTACGCAATCCCAAAGAAGTAGATGCTTATAATATTAACTCCACAGCAATAAGGTGGGGTTTGAAAAACGATTAAAAACGCCTTCCAATAAAAGGCCATCTGATGAAACGCCCGAATAAACCCCAGCCTTAAAAAAAATCATTTGAAACATCCTAAGAGAGACAACACAAATTTAAGGCAATAATATCACAATCAATATTTTTATATTAAACTACGATCCCATGGCTATTTGGGAGAGAAAGGGGTCGGTTACAGCCATAAAAAAGAGAGTTATCAACTGACTCTGCAGTTCAGATACACACACTCTGACAGCCAGTTTGAGCTCATTGTTTTGGCTAACTTTTACTACTCTTCTTTAAAAGTATGGGATCAAGTTAGCTGTACGTCCTGTCATATTTGTTATATTTCCACCTTAAATGGCAATACATGCAGGCCCAGGACGGTAAAAAAAAACCTGTCACAGTCAGCAGATGTTCAGTCGAATGCAAAATATTTGTCTGCCTAATTTTCTTTTTGTGCCAACAATTATGTCATGGGAATTTGTAATGAGTATTTGAAAAACTAGTAAATGGTTATTTTTGTAGTTTTAAGAAGAGTTTGTAAAATGGAATTTTGTCATCACGTATCAATCCATCTTGAATCAATCTTTATTTGTGACAAATGTTATCTCGAGACACTTTACAAAAGAGCAGATAAAAGACCTTACTCTTTGTTGTGTTACAAAGACCAAGCGTTTATCCATCTTGAGCAACAGTGGAAAGAAAAACTTCCTTTTAAGAGGCAGGAATAGTTGGCAAAACCAGGCTCATGATGAACAGCCGTCTGCCGGATGCTATGCTATAGCGACTTGTGTGGGCATCTTGGTATGCAAAATGTTAATAAGAAGTTAAAAACAGATGATATGAGTCATCTTTAAAGAGGATTTTATACGTTTTGTATGTATAATGATTTACTTGTAGTGAACAACTAGTGTAAGTTTAAAGATCATTTCAGACATGATTCAATATTGTGTGTGTTTTGGTTATTTCTGGTAAATACAGAAGCATCCTTTAGAAACCTTAAACAACTGAGTCGACCTGCTCTGTGATGTAACTTAACCTTGTATTTGCTGGCTCTTACAGTAGGTGTACAAGGCCTCGCTGCCTTACGTGATAGCAGAGCATTTCTGAGCATATTACCAGTGCATTTGTTTGCCTTAGCATTCAAGCTCTTCCTCAGCCCACACAACTCTCACCATGATTAAGAGAGAAGGCGCTGGATGTAAACAAAGGGGAGAAACATGGAGAGGCTTAGGGCTTCAATATACAGTTTGAAAAAGAATTGTCTGTGTTCTCAGACACTGTCAAAGCCAGTATACTCATTATGTTTACATGTCAGCTCTCCTCACTACAGAATAGAGGTGCTGTGAAAGTGAGGATACCAGAAAAAGAAAATAAACAGAAGGCGGTTAAAGTGTAACCCTGGTGCTCTTGTCAGAGAAATATTAAAGGAGATAGCAGGTTTGTTTGCTAA